TCTACCTTAACCAAAATCAAAGTAGACTATCACTCACCCACACCAGATGGAAAACTCTACAGCCTGTCGTTTCACACCCCATCACAAGCCAGCAAAACATCCACGAAACAAAGAAAGGTCTGTCACAGCCAAAAAATACACTCCAGACACRCCGCTGGCACTAGAGGCACAGCATGGCCGCCTAGTAACGGCCCCGACCACTGCCGCTCGACCTGACCGGAAAAAACTAGCGAAGTCGTAGCATATATCGTCACAAACAGACCTGCCCGGTAAACCGTAGGCAACTATTTATCAAGTATAAAACACTATAAAACTGTATAACATGCAGTATATTTTACTACTTTGTTTGTTTTTTTTTTCTGCGGTCCGGACAGGTCCGGACATGCGTCCGGTCCGATGTTCGGCAATGTCCAGGTACGGGTCCGGCGTAGCCATGGTATTTAGACTGACAGATACCCCAAATAGATAGCTATAATGACCTTACGTTGTATCCGGGGGTAGTATGTTCGTACGCTGCACTAGACCGCGGTAGTGCAGCGGTACACGTATGGAATCATCGGAACAACCCATGGACCAAGAGCATTGGGCAAACCTCTCTGTAGCCCTTACCATGATGCACCAACCCAAGGGGAGTATGTGAACAGCTGTGCATAGGTCAACGCCCGCTGGTCTCCATGCGCAGGGTGTCCAGACCTCGACCTCCAGACAAGACAAAAGAAGGCTGGCTCAGGAAGGGGACACATTGCTCATGTCACCCATTACCATTGCCCTGCTTCCCTGCCTCACTCCCCCCCTCGCTTGATGGTCTCCTCCAGAGGCGGCAGCCCTGCATCATATGCTCTCCCTCGCTCTCTGTGTGTGACGCTATGTCACAGTGCTGCATGAACACCCTTCCTCCCCACCCCCCTCGCCTCAAAAAAAGGCACCTCCCCAAAAGTGAAGGAGAACCCCTGAAAGAGAGATTTTTGAGGTTGGCTGTCCAGAGGTTGCATGTTTTCATATCTTCCAATTATACCTACTAATTAGGACCGTCCCTGCTCAGCTAATCCCCAGGTTTCCGGGGCAATCAATGCTGGCAGGGGGAGGTCTTCTTAATTTTTTTCAAGAAAAGGTGAGAAAAGTAGACGGTTGGATATTAAGCGTCCTACTAGTGAGGGGGCTAGCTCGTACGATGGAGTTAGGGTACAGCAGCAGCGGAGATGGTCGCTCTGCTGCAGTAAGTCTTGCCGGAGTGAGGTAAAGAGGATTGATGCGGGGGTTTCTGAGTCGTTTCTGAACTTTGCCTAAATTTCTGTCATGGCCTCGGTTTCTCAAACTTTTATACTTCTATGTACATTTCCATATGGGACGCTGGGCCCAGGTCCCAGCACGTGCTGCTCCCCACAAATAGATTGGAGCCTTGTTCACCCCAAAAAAAAAAAAAAAGAGAACTGACCCCCAATAGCGAGCCCCTAAAAGAGAACCCACCCCCAAGAGAGAACTCCTACAAGAGAATTCACGTCCAATGTACTCAAGAGTTGACCCACACACACACACACACACACCAGTATGTTTCCCAGCCATTTTGCTAGCAAGCGGTCATGCACAAAAGCGCGTCTGGCAGGATGTACCTGCTCACTGCATAGCAAAAAAATACATCCAGGCAAAGCGCGTCACGTGAACGACCCGTTTCGCCTGGATGAAGTGTTTTTGCCTGCCGGAAGGCCGGTACACCCCACCAGAGCCTCTCCGAAAAAAACGAAGGCTCCAGAGACTGAAACAGCCGGCACTACCAGTCAGACAGACAAAAACGCTGCGCTGGTGTTGTGGCAAAGCTTGCCGCGCAGTGGGAATCCGGCCCGTACAAAAGAGGCTCGAATGTACTGGTGGTTTAAGACTCTCACAGAGCACAAAAAAAAAGGCCACACACCTTGTCACCACTAGGTGGGACTCTGTTGTCTGGGAGGTATAATTTGGCTTGGGTGATAGTATGTGGGTTGCATGCTACCATGTGGACTGGGTTGTCCTTTGTGGGGAATATCGTACTATGTGGATGGATGAGAATGGGCCATTACGCGGACTTAATCGTACTAAAACTCACACGGCCACACCAGGGCACATGGTCACCAAAAAGAAAAAAGAAAAAAAGAAAAAGAACGCATGGCCAACGTTAGACACAACTCCGGCGTATGCAGTCGGGCTTGATCTAATGACCTGTTTTCTAACAAGTACATGATTCCTTGCTGTACAGAATGGGCCTGCTGTGTGCTTGTACTTGAACACAACATGTCTCCATACTTCACAACAACTCGAATGGGTTGTCCAACAAAAAAAGAATAAACGTACACACACTCACGAAGCAAGTGACGGCGATGACGATGACCGTGATGACGGCGGTGAACATAACAGCGAGTGACAAGGTGGGACAATCAGGAGGGGGGAGGAGGGAGGGGGGAGGAGGGAGGGGGGAGGAGGGAGGACGGGCGGGGAGGGAGCTGCACACACAGACAAACATCCACTTGCGCACACACGTCCCATGCGCATGATGATGACGAGAGTGACGGTGACGATGACGGTGAGGAGGAAGACAGCAACCGTGATGGCGACGGTGGTGGAAGAGGAGGTGGAGGGAGAAGGGCCCAGAAGGGGACTGCACACACAGACACGCACGCACGCACACACACACACACACACGTGCGCACATTCATGGACACACACACGCACACACACAAGCACAATGACGCATTGATGAGGGGCAGGGGGGGACGGAAGGGGCAATCAAAGTGACCTCCACATCCCCTCCGTCAAGGTATGTTTGCTCTCTGTCTCTGTCTCTCTGTCTCTCTCTCTCTCTCTCTCTCTCTCTGTCTCTCTCTCTCTCTCTCTCTCTCTCTCTCTCTCTCTCTCTCTCTCTCTCTCTCTCTCTCTCACACACACACACACAC